GGGGGGGGGGGGAGGGATCTGGGCAGGGAAGAGAAGAGGGAGGTTTGGTCTGTTGCACGGTTGGTGCTGTTTGTGCGGTGGGTGCGGTGTAGCAGTGTGCGGTGGGTGCGGTGGTTGCGGTGGGTGCGGTGGTTGCGGTGGTTGCGGTGGTTGCGGTGGTGCGGTGGTTGCGGTGGTGCGGTGTGCGGTGTGCGGTGTGCGGTGTGCGTGGTGTGCGTGGTGTGCGTGGTGTGCGTGGTGTGCGTGGTGTGCGTGGTGTGCGTGGTGTGCGTGGTGTGCCGTGGGTTGTGCTGTTGTTGTTCGGAGTTCGTCGTGTGTGGTGTGTGGTGTGTTATGTGCGTTGGCAGCAGTAACTAGCGGTGGGCTTACCCTGCAGTGTGGGATCCCGTGGGGCTTGGCGCCGGCAGCAGCCAACCCGAGTCGCCGCCTGGGCACGTGACGGGAGTTCTCGCCTATTTGCCCGTGTTGGGTTGGGCTGTTTAACTCGCTAGTTGGAGTGGGGTTGGAACTGGGTTCGACGTGACGTCATAACGCCGTCAGCCACACCCACCATCAAAGCCGCAGCACACCGGGCGCGTCTTTGGTGTGGCGGCAGCGCGGGTCTTTCACAGAAGCGCTTTTAACGTTATGCTTCTCGTCTGTAAGTTAACTACACTAGTTTGTTAGTATAACTAGTTAACTAGTTAGTTATAGTTAGTTACTCACTCACTTGGTATTGCTAATAACTGAGTCACCGCCCCCGCGTCCATGCCTTTTCCAATGTAATTGCATAGTCAGGGAATTTCCCCGTGATTGCTCTGGTATGCCCGAGAGGAGAGAAAGCCTAATCTTCCCTTCTCCTGCGGGAAATGGGAGAACGGCTCCGGCTGCTTGATCGATATAGTGTCGGAGCGGCCAATGATGTCGCTTGTCGCCTTCTTTCCCTCTGGTCGTATCCCGCAGTCCGTAGTTGTTCGACTCCACGCGGAACCGGCGATTCCATTCGGATCAAAGCTTCGAGTGGTGCTTAGTAATGCTCATGGCGGTGCCTGGAGAGGAGCATTTCATTGGCCGGGGACAGGTTGACTAAGCACATTTTCCCGCTCTCCCACGCTAACTGTATGAGGTAAGGGTGTTCTTGATCCGGCTGCCAAAGACAAACCTCGGACGAACTTCCTCAACATACGAAACGAGAAAATCCTGCAAGTTCTGACATCACCACCTTCGACAGGTTCCGGACTATCCACTGGAGCACTCTACATCTAGCACGGTCTGGCTAGCTAGAGACACAGCATCTTGCCTGGTCGTATCGTACATAATTCGTCACATCCGGTTTCATCATGCTCAAGATCAGCATGATGGGTGTTATGATCCACACAGATCCGGCGACGGAGGCGGGTCCTTGGGATGTTCTAGCTGACAATGTGAAACCAGCTGCCCTCAACACCCATCCCCATTCATTCAATTGGCAGGACCAGATTCGCCTTGCTCAAACCCAGAGTTCCAGGCTGGAAAACTGCCCAATCTCTGTAATAATCCCCAAGAGAGCACCTTGGAACACATTTTCCCCGGGGCAATTTATACTCCAGTAGTGGGCAAATAACACCACATCTCTTTCGTCTCACAGTTCCAGGCTGTAATTCTAGTTTATTGAACTACCTCGTTCTTTTTCTTATATACATATATATATATGTATATATATATATCTGTATAATTTCTTTTTGAATCCTTACAAGGCTGTGCCCGATATCAAACTCTCTCCAAGAACAAATGGCGGGCGATTCGCCGCAATCTTCATTTCACGAAGATCCAGAATACCTTCCGAACGTGAAGGCAAACGATTGCAATGACGATGAAGATGAATCAAACAATGGTGATTCTTCTTCTAACGAGGATACCAGGTTTAATCTCATTCGAACATTAACCAGAGACCGAAATACAGAGCTCTCGAGAATAGCCTCCGTCTTCTCCCATGCCGACGAGCATTCCACTGCTACTGACTCCCTAGCACGGATAGATACCCTTGCTGGCCTCCAACTCGGAGATGCCGTGCTGAACCCATCCAGCCCGCAGTTCGACTTTTACAAATGGGCCCGCATGCTTATGAAGCTGATGGAGGAGGATGGGCTCAAGAGACGACGGACCGGCATCACCTTCAGGAACCTGAGTGTCTACGGTTCCGGGCCCGCGCTGCAGCTGCAAAGCACCGTCTCCACACCGATCATGGCACTCTTCCGGTTCCAAGAGACGTTTGGGGTTGGGCGGAAGACACGCAAGCGGATCTTGAACAACTTCAATGGAGCGTTGAGGGAGGGGGAGATGCTTGTCGTGCTGGGGAGGCCCGGGAGTGGATGCAGCACCTTTCTCAAGACCATATGTGGAGAAACACATGGGCTTGAGCTGGGCAAGGAGGCCTCGGTTCAATACAACGGTATTCCCCAGACAACGTTCAAGAAGGAATTTCGCGGCGAAGCTGTGTACAGTGCGGAGGATGAGAAACATTTCCCCCATCTTACAGTTGGACAGACGTTGGAGTTTGCTGCTGCTTGTCGGACTCCTTCTGCAAGAGTGATGGGCATGGAGAGGAAGGAGTTCTCTCACCATATTGCAAGGGTGGTCATGGCCATTTTCGGCTTAAGCCATACCGTCAACGCCAAAGTTGGTGATGACTACGTCCGAGGCGTCAGTGGCGGCGAACGCAAACGTGTCAGCATTGCGGAGCTTGGGCTCTCTGGCGCACCGGTAGTCTGCTGGGACAATTCAACCAGGGGGCTTGACTCAGCTACAGCTCTTGAGTTTACCAAGGCGCTGCGAATCGCCTCTGATGTCATGGGAGCTACACAGGCCGTTGCCATCTACCAGGCCAGCCAGGCAATCTACGACTTGTTTGACAAAGCTGTTGTTCTCTACGAAGGGCGCCAGATCTACTACGGTCCCGCTAACTCAGCCAAGAAGTATTTCGAAGACATGGGCTGGTATTGCCCGCCCCGCCAGACAACTGGCGATTTCCTCACCTCTATCACCAACCCGATGGAGCGGAGAGTCAGGGACGGGTTTGAATCCAAAGTTCCCCGAACCGCCCATGAGTTTGAGACGTATTGGCGCAACTCGCAGCAATTCAAGGACATGCAGGCTGAAATTGAGCAGTGCGAGGATGAACATCCCGTTGGCGGGCCGGCGCTGGGAGAATTGCGCGAGGCCCACAACCAGGCGCAGGCAAAGCACGTTCGCCCGAAATCACCGTATACCATAACCATACTTATGCAGGTGAAGCTGTGTACTACCCGTGCCTACCAGCGCCTGTGGAATGATAAAGCATCGACGATTTCCAGGGTGATGGCGCAACTGATCATGTCTTTGATTATCGGCTCGCTCTACTTTAACACGCCACAAGTTACCAGCAGTTTTTTCTCGAAGGGTTCGGTTTTGTTCTTTGCTATTCTGCTCAATGCATTGCTTTCTATTTCTGAAATTAATACGTAAGTTTTACTTCGCTGCTCCAAATAAAATAAAATAAAATAAAATAAAAAAAAAAAAAAAAAAAAAAAAAAAGTGATGGTTACTGACAGAATCTTTATAGGCTTTGTAAGGTCTTTCCCAACCTGGTCTTTCATCTTGCAGTCACTAACATAACAAAGACTCCCAACGCCCTATCGTCTCCAAACACGTATCATACGCCTTATACTATTCCTGCGTCGAAGCTTTTGCAGGGATCGTTTCCGATATTCCCATAAAGTTGATAACTAGCACTGTCTTCAACCTAATCATCTACTTCCTCGGAGACTTGCGACGGCAGGCGGATCATTTCTTCATTTTCTTCCTTTTCACTTTCATCACCATGTTAACTATGTCTGCAATATTCCGGACGCTTGCCGCTGCGACGAAGACAATTTCCCAGGCTCTCGCATTCGCGGGAGTCATGGTTTTGGCTATTGTCATATATACGGGTTTCACAATTCAGCGGTCATATATGTAAGTGTCTCTCCGCTTAATGGTTCTGGTATCTTGCTCGTTTTCTTGACTGGGGATGTTATGCTAAAATCCCCTGTGACAGGCGCCCATGGATGGAATGGATAAGCTGGATTAATCCTGTGGCATATGCATTCGAAGCTATCCTGGTAAACGAAGTACATAACCAACGCTACGCATGTGCACTGATTGTCCCGCCATATGGAGAAGGAATGAACTTCCAGTGTCCAATTGCCGGGGCGGTGCCAGGCGAGAGATCGGTGTCCGGCGATGCTTGGGTAGAATCGCAATATGGCTACAAGTACTCCCATATCTGGCGGAATCTCGGCTTCATCTTCGCATTCCAGGTCTTTTTCTACGTGGTGTATCTTACTGCGACGCAGCTGAACACTGCCTCAGCCTCGACCGCAGAATTTCTTGTTTTCCGCCGCGGTAATGTTCCGATATATATGCTGAAACAAGACGATGAAGAGAATGGCAAAGCAGCTCCTCCTGCTGCTGCTGCTGCTGCTGCTGCTGCTGCAGCTGCTGAGGCTAATTCCAAGAACGAAGAAGATAAAACCAACGTCCTTCCCCCTCAGACTGACGTTTTCACATGGAGGAATGTAACTTATGACATCACGATTAAGGGAGAGGATAGAAGGATCCTTGACCACGTTTCTGGTTGGGTTCGACCCGGTACACTTACGGCACTGATGGGCGTCTCTGGAGCTGGCAAAACTACCCTGCTCGACGCGCTCGCGCAACGCATTTCTTTCGGAGTTATCACGGGGGATATGTTTGTCAATGGAAAGCCCCTTGACCTATCCTTCCAGCGCAAAACTGGCTACTGTCAACAGCAAGATCTACATCTCGAGACAAGCACGGTACGCGAGGCACTGCGCTTTTCAGCAATGTTAAGACAGCCAAAGAGCGTTTCCAAGCAGGAAAAATACGAGTTTGTTGAAGACGTGATTAAGATGTTGAACATGGAGGATTTTGCGGAAGCGGTTGTTGGTAACCCTGGTGAAGGACTCAATGTTGAGCAGCGGAAACTTCTCACCATCGGGGTTGAACTGGCTGCAAAACCGCAACTACTGCTCTTCCTTGACGAACCAACTTCCGGCCTTGACTCACAAAGTGCATGGGCGATTGTTACTTTTCTCCGGAAGCTTGCTGACCATGGTCAAGCTGTGCTCTCCACGATCCACCAGCCGTCCGCGGTGTTGTTTCAAGAGTTCGATAGACTGCTGTTGCTGGCGAAAGGTGGTAAGACGGTCTATTTTGGCGAAATTGGGAAGAACTCTGAGACCATGCTCAATTACTTCGCGACCCATGGTGCTGAGCGCTGCCGTCCTGACGAGAATCCAGCAGAATACATGCTGAACGTTGTGGGGGCGGGTCCTAGTGGTATGTCGATGCAGGATTGGGCGGCGGTGTGGAATAACAGTCAAGAAGCGAAGCAGGTCCAGGAGGAATTGGATCGTATACACGCGGAGAAGGCAGAGAAACACGATCCTACGGCTGATCAACAAGCCGTGACACAGGAGTTTGCGATGCCCATGACTTCGCAGATCTACTACGTTACGTTTCGAGTTTTCCAGCAATACTGGCGAACACCGACATACATTTGGGGGAAGTTTTTGTTGGGCTTCATGTCTGCCGTCTTCATGTAAGTGGATCTATCTCCCTTTAAGAGAGATTTTTATGGAGTAACGGTTCTGTGTATTAATGTTTGCCACAGAGGATTCTCATTCTACAAACAAAACTCTTCGTCCTCGGGGCTTCAAAATACGCTCTTCGCGATATTCATGTTGACAACAATCTTCACGAGTTTGGTCCAACAGGTATGCGCACCCTATTTCGCAATCGCCATACTGACATTTTTTGTTTTTTTTTTTTTTAAAAAAAAAAAAAAAAAAAAAAAAAAAAAACACTGACATCATTGTTCAGATTATGCCCCGATTCGTCACCCAACGCTCCCTCTTCGAAGTCCGCGAACGTCCATCACGAACCTACGGCTGGAAAGCCTTCCTCCTCGCAAACATCATAGTCGAAATCCCCTACCAAATCCTCCTAGGCATCGTAGTCTGGGCATCCCTATACTTCCCCGTCTTCGGCAAGAACCAAACTTCAGAGCAGCAAGGCATATTCCTCATCTACTCGGTCCAATTCATGATATTCGCCTCCACCTTCGCCCACATGGTAATCGCAGGGCTTCCCGATGCAGAAACAGCCGGCCACATCGCCACAACCCTATTCAGCTTATCCCTCACTTTCAACGGCGTCATGCAACCTCCCCGCGCTCTCCCCGGCTTCTGGATCTTCATGTGGCGCGTCTCGCCTTTGACCTACACCGTGGGTGGTCTGGCCGCCACGGGCCTCCATAACCGCATCGTCAACTGCGCCGAGAACGAGTTCGCCATCTTCGATCCGCCCAGCGGTGCCACGTGCGGACAGTATCTGGCGGAGTTCTTCGCTGCGGGTGCCCAGGGCCAACTGGAAGACCCGAACGCAACGCAGGGATGCAGGTACTGCTCTTTGAGAAATGCTGACCAGTTCCTTGCTGGCTCGGAGGTATTCTGGTCACAGCGCTGGCGCAATTTCGGGCTCGGTTGGGCGTATATTGGGTTTAATGTGTTTGCGGCTGTCGCGCTGTACTACATGCTAAGGGTGCGAACTTCGACGGGCAAGACTCGGAAACGGGCTAGTTTGGTGAAGCATTATGTGCGGTGGGTTGGGAGTTGGGTGCGGGCGCTGTTTACGACGAGGATTGAGAAGACGCCCGAGGAAAAGGTTCATGTGAATGATAGGATTCTTTGAGGGCTAATAGAGGTGTGGGTTGAGGACTGTGGAATGTATCATTCAAATAAAAGTATTATAAGTATTGTCTCAAGGGTTGGTTTGGGATTTTTCTTGTATTTTTATTTTTATATTTATATTTATTTAAACTACATGTCATCTAGCTATGTATTATTCCCATTTCCTTCGAATCACCTCGTCTACTTTGTCCTGAGCAGTCATCTTGGCATCTTCGATGGCCAAAAAAGAAAAAAGTACACCATAGGTTAGATTAGGTTGGGGTTAGGATTAGAGATCTAACACGTCTTGCTGCTGCTAGTATTTCTAGCCAGTTACTTTTGGCTCGATGTCGACTTCCCGAGGGCTCGCGGAGCAGATCAGCGACCCGATTGCCGAAGTCCCGATGGGCTGCGGGCTTCGATAAAACAACCGAGAATCACAGATATAAGTATAATTCATTCTCTCTGTTCAGCAAAGGTCGGCTTTTTCCCAGGCGCAGAGAATAACGATATTGATCTTTTGAGTCTGGTTTTGCGTGTATTTATCTCTCATTTCCCGAGGGAGGTTTGCCTGCCTGTAGTTAAACGGCGAGAAAATGTTGTTTAAGTCGAAACATCCGGATGTCGAGGGTAGGTTTACGATGCTTCCTTTTCGTTTTCCACACGTACCCTTCATCCCAAATGAATATCCAGTTCACCATTTGCGTCTCCTGCTAATTAACAGATCCAACGCGTAGTTCCTGAAGACATCACTGTCTGGCATTGGCTCTTCGAATCCCCAGAATTTTCCCTTCTTCACAAACTAAAGCCGAGCGAGTTAGCCGGGTATACCAATGCTGCGACCAAAGAGAGGGTCAACTGGGCCCAAGTAAAGGAAATTGCAACGTATGTGAGCACCGCATTGGTGAAGAAATACGGCATGAAAGAGGAAGATACGATATCGCTATTCAGCCAGAATACAATCTGGTATCCTGTGGCTATGTTTGCCGGGATCAGGGCCGGTACGTCTTTCACAGGTCCGTTTCCATAGTTATTCACACAAGGGCTGACGATTGGGTGTGCCATTTTACTGTACAGGCGGCAAGGTGGCGGGAGCTTCTCCGGCATACAACGTTGAGGAGATGTCATACGCCCTCAAAAAGGCCGAGACGAAATTCCTCATGACAGGCCCAAATTCATTACAGGTTGCCGTGGCTGCTGCTAAGAATGCTGGCATTCCGCAGGAGCATGTTTTCCTGCTCGAAAGGGGAGGCCGACGGCTTTACCACATTTAAGGATCTTGAAAGGATCGGGAAGAGCCATGGCGAGCAAGGCCAGATTCCACCGCATTCGATTCCGAGAGGGAAGACGAACAAGGATCTTTGCGGGTTTTTGAACTTTTCCAGCGGAACAACTGGGTTGCCGAAGGCTGTGAGTTGTGCCGTAAGCTATATATACCGTTGAGCTGCCCTCTGCTAACTTTTCATCATAGGTTATGCTCTCGCACTACAATGTAATAGCCCAATGCTTGCAAATGAAGACCATCACCCCCCCTGGATCAAAAACTTATCTTGGAGCCTTGCCGCTGTTCCACAGTAAGCCCTCTTGCAGATACATGCACCCCAGAAGATACTAGATACCAGCAGAATTGGCGCCGGTCCCCCTGTTGATTTGGCACTGACATCCCATTTTCGCATCCGCACTTGACAGTCACGGGCCTTATCCGATTCTGCAACAGCCCAGTGCATCAAAACGACGAAGTAATTCTCCTCCCGCAGTTTACAATGGAACTCACCCTCAAATCCGTCGTCGAATACCAAATCACCGAACTCATCCTCGTCCCACCAATCGTCATCCGCTTCACCCAGGACAAAATCGTAGACCAGTATGACCTATCCAGCGTAAAGCGCATATCCTGTGGCGCGGCGCCTCTTAGTAAAGAAGTGATTCAATTGCTTGCTAAGCGATTTCCCGATGTAGGATTTAGACAAGGGTACGGGATGACCGAGTCATGCGGCTGTCTCTCATCGCACTCTGAAAAATACTCTAGCTATGACTATGCGGCGACGGTAGGCGACTTGATCCCGTCGACCGAAATCAAAATTGTCAACGACCAAGGGAAAGAACTGGGATATAATAAACCCGGTGAAATTCTCGCCAAGGGCCCGCAAATCGCAATGGGATATCTGGGAAATGAGGGCGCGACAGCTGAGTCCTTTGACCAGGATGGCTTTTTCCATACAGGAGATATTGGCAGCATGGATGAGGAAGGGCTTCTCTCAATAGTTGATCGGATCAAGGAAATGATCAAAGTGAAAGGAATCGCCGTTGCGCCGGCGGAACTGGAGGATCTGCTCCTGGGCCACCCGAATGTATCTGACGTTGCTGTTCTCGGCAAACAAGACGACTATGCAGGTGAACGGCCAAAGGCACACGTTGTCCTTAAACAAGGCGTGGAGAGATCCGAGGCAGTTGGTCGGGAGCTGATACAGTATGTTAAGGAGAGGAAGGTTAGGTTTAAATGGGTGAACGAGATCGAATTTACGGATTCCGTGCCGAAGAGCGCCAGTGGGAAGATTTTGCGACGAGTGCTAAAGGAAAGGGAGAGGAGCGGGTTGAGAGGGTTTGTAGTCCGTGAGAACAAAAAGGCGAGGGCGAGATTGTGAGTTGTAGATTCGGCGAGGGATGTTGGACTTTTTCGAGAATCTGTTGATTGGTATTTATATCTAGAATTCTTAAGACTCTCGCTGTTCTTGATGCATATTTTGAAGCGCGTCTTGACCGTTTGTGATACCCGGAGATACCATTGTGATGAACTTGTCAACTGGTTAAATATACTCTTCAGGGGGTACGGATTAGGGTAAGATGTAGAAAAAGAAGGGATCAATTCTCTTACAGATTTTTAACGGCGCCGTCTCTCGTGTTTTGGTACATACTTTCATGAACCTCATCCCCTAATAGCATTAAACGTGGAAATTAAATGCTTTGCTGCCTCAGGGGCATCCGCGCCATAGACACATGAGTGGGTGTGACGATCAACATGCCATTGCAAACCAAGTCTCCCAAGCGCAATATATATATATATATATTTCCGCCGGATAGTCAGGAATACGACCGCCATCCTGCTTCTGCGTGTCGCCAACGGTGACAACAGCGGTGATGTGGTCTCTCACCAGGGGCTCTAGGTTCTCCACTGTTTGATGCATGATTGCTGCGCCTTGGCTATCCCGCGAAATCCGTAGTTTTGTAGCATATCTACATAAGAGAGTTTTCGCGTGGAGAAAACGGGTGGAAGTGTCAAGCGCTGGTGTACGACTGCGTCTTGCCTATGCCCGCCAGCGACGATAAATCGCCCCTAGCCATCTCGACGCCGCACCACGAGAATGAGATTGCATGTCCTTTCCGCTTGGATAAGCAGCAGGCGGGAGGGAGGTTGGTATCCCGTCGGGTGATTGACTCCTTGGACAGCAGCACGATCGGCACCAAATTTTTGCTTGCGCAAAGAAGCGGTCGGGGATCCGCAGGTGGACTGCCATAGAAAGAGAGTGTGGTGGGCTCTCTCTGGCAAAGTGATTCACCGTCATATCTACACTGATAGGCTGCCGTATGGAAACTTTCCGTATGCCCTGCTAAAAGCTGCAGGTGTGACAGCATTTAATCTGTCTTTATGTTAAGAGAGTGTTTGAGGTGTGAGAGATCTGACGCTGTTTCGAAACCGCAGATGGGAATACTAATACTAATACTAATACTAAAAATGATATAATGATAATGATAATCCTCCTAATTATATGATAGTCGTGGATGGTTCCGAGGATCTCGGGCGCTTATTTAAGCTTAATTTAGTTACCAGGTTGGGACCACGTGGTTCCTCCAAATAAGTTTAACTCGCGTGTCTACAGCCAAACCGATGTATGTATGTCGATTGCCTCAACCAAAACCCAACCGAGCGGAATCGATTCGGAATATTCCCAAACTAACTATTTCAGTTTGAACCATCCGCTCTCAAGCAAAACAGTTGAACTGAATTAATTGAACTCCAGGCTCGGAGCAGCTTGCTCTCTCATGCTCAGCACGTTGCAACTGCTGCACCCCGATGACTCCCTCCGTCGTGAACAGGCTGTGTAACAGGCTCAGCAGTGAGATGAAATAGCGGGCTCTGTTAAATCCCGTATACAATACGTTGAATTCAACAGTGGCAGAGCTGGGCGGGGATAGCGGATCCTGCGAATACCCTGATGCGTGCCTCCACGTATGTTTGGATCCGTTAGTTAGTGTTGATTGAATTTGAAACTTAGTTCTCAGCAAGTAGAAATTATCAAAAATAAAATACTACGAAGTAAAACGATGATTAGTTCATATTCTTAAAACACACTGATCAAGGAGTTGATTCTCATTTCGTTGGGTTCAAAATTCTCTGAAAGTAGTAGAATCTCTTCAGCCTCAGCTATAACTAGATAAATTTCACACGGACAGTTCAACTCTTCAATTAGCTATATAAAGAATGGAGAGTATTAAACATGCACACAGCTTCAGCAGCTGGGATTATTTCCTGATTTTTAAATAGCAGATATTGCGAGTTCAATTCCTTCCTCTTCTATAGTTTTTTGAACTGATCTTTTCTTCACTTGCGAATTTTTATTCGCCTGTGGATTAGCTACGTGACTGCGCAACCCCCCCCCCCCCCCCCTGTGAGATCGGACATGAACACGCTCAGCTCCAGGAACGGCACTTGGAGGAAATGCACACAGCACCGATAATAAGATGCGGATTCATGCCTTCATTAAAAAACGATGATCTCACTTTTTATATCCGTGCGTTGCGGTAATACTCACCGGATGTTGAAAATACCCTGAAAACCCACGGCGGAACCCCCCAATCTCTAGATAAATGAATAATGAAAAAAGAAAAAGAAAAAAAGAATCAATAAATCCCTCACCTTTCGGAGTTTCTCCCAAATCCTCTCCATCCCATATCAGTCAGTAATAATCAATCAATCAATCCACCCCCTTGACTTCTCCCTTCCCTTCCCTCTCTCCCGCCCTTCTCCCTACCAACCACAACCTCCCTCCCCGCCCTATCAGCCCCCAGCCACAAAACATCTGGCCGACTATAATGCCCCACAACATCCAAAAACCCCCTATTCGTCACAATCCTCTCCAGATCCAAATCGGCAAACACAATGCCCTCCACCGCCGCATCGCCGTTCCCAAGCGCCTTCGTCAACCTCCTCCCATCCGGCCCAATAGCCGCACTATGCCCACCGCCCGGCTCCTGGAAAAGCAGTCCGCCTTTGGTCCTCAGCGTCTCCACCCCCTGCTCCCCACACACAGCCGTGCAATGCAGTACAAACGAGCCCCCCTCCACCGCACACGTCTGGCTAAGGCCCATGACTCCCTCAGCGCTCATGCTCCACAGGCCCTCGCCATCGACGCCCGCATGCGGATCCACGGGAGGCCACATGGAAACATGCACGGCCGCGCCCAGAGAAAACGCATGGTACTTCAGAAGCGGCTGCGCATGCTCCCAGCAAGACAACATGCCGACCTTCACGGCGCCGATCGGCTGTCCGAAATCGACAGCCGCGACGTTGGACAGGTTGTCCAGGCCGATGGTGGCGTCGTTGTTCCCGTCGCCGAAGACGGTGCGTTCCATGTGTGTGGGTTTCAGCTTGCGGCGGTGCAGGAGCACTTCGCCCTCTGGGGAGATGAGGCATTGGGCGATGTAGAGGGAGTGGGAGGGAGTTGCTTCGGAGAAACCGAGGGCGACGGCGATGGAATTGCGTTTTGCGGCGGCTTGGACGGCGAGGAGTTGTGGGGATGGGGTGGGGTGGAGGCGGAGGGAGTTTTGGATGTAGCGGGTGTTCATGGCTGGGTCGACGGGGCGATTCCTACATTGGGGATTTAGCGGCTGATGGTGCTCATGAGGCGGGGAGAAAAAAAAAAATGGGTTGGTAATTTGGCTTCTAAATTTGCTCACCATATCCACCCCGGATACCCCGGGATCCAGCATTCCGGGAAAGCAATGAGCTTCGCGCCGCCCTGGGCTGCTTCTTCGATGATCTTTACCGTCTTCTCAACCGTGGCATCTAGGTCGAGATATACAGGCTCAGCCTGGGTGATGGCCACGCGGAGGATGGGACCGGGCATTGTTTTGCTTTTGCTATTTGTCGCTTGGACTCTGTCTGTGTCGTACACTCGATGAGGTGAATGTTTGTGTACTCTGAGATATTTATAGCGTAAAGGCAGTCATGGCAGATCAACATTTCCTACGCTGGGAGAGAGATATAAATATCGGAGATGCTGCTGGGGGGATATGCGTAGAGACAGTTCATCCACACCCCCAACTCCTGCCGTCACAGGCTAGTGATATCTGACACGTCACTCCAACGACAGGTTAAAAACCCAAGCTGGTTTTTTTCCTGACAGATTTTGCCGTCACCCTTGTATCTATCTCCATATTTCCCCATGCCTTCAGAAGTGGGGTGAGGGGCAGGGTTGTGCTCTGGGACTGCTTTTTATTGGTGAAAGCATGTCGCCCTGCTGGACCCCTGTACACCTGTGAGTTCCAAGCTTCCATCCACTCCGTCTGGAATTACAGCCTAATGCTGGCATGTTAGAATCTTGAGATGAGGCGTAGCGCGTGGTTGCTGAGGACGTTAGAAACTATTCTCCTCCTTTCCGCTCTGGGTGCAACATTTCTGGCCCTATTCGTGCATCATTCATACTCAACATTGTCCATAGCGTCTTCAGCAACAACATATGCCAGATCTCTCTGCAAAAGCACAATAATGCAATGCGCCTAAATCAAAAACCATGCGTACACCCAGTAGATGCAAACGAACATGGACACAACAACAGACATAAATATACCAATCTACTTCGACCTCAAAGTCCCCTCCCTCGTCAGCCCTCTATCCCCACCTCCGCCCCGTCTCCAAAGCCACACAGCCTCCGTCGCCCACGCCTTCGCACTAGCATGCTTCCCAATCCTACCCGCAACATTCGCCCCAGAGGCAGCATTCGACCCACCACCACCACCACCACCACCACCACCAGCCTCCACCAACATCCCGGCAACAACCCCCTCCCTCTCCACAGCACTCCATAAACCTTCAACGAGCGCACTCTCCTTCTCCCCAAACTCCCCTTTCCCCAATCTATACAGCAGCCTCCCAAGAACCTGCCACGCCAAACATCGCTGCGCAGGAAACGACGAGCGAGACAAAATGGCAAGTTCAGAGATCGTATATCCCGCCGCTTCAGGGTCGTTCGCATGGTGATGCAATCCCAACGTCGTCGGGATCGCGAGCGACGTGCGCGGGGCTAGAATGTTGCCTGCGAGAGAGAAGCGGAGGGACGCTGGGGAGATGGAGGTGGCGGAGCTGTCGGGGTGGTAGGGGGACGCTGGCGGGTATGGGCCGTAGTCGGTGGCGGATGAATAGGAGTCGGGTTGGAGCCAGGAGAGTAAGGAGGGGTCGTGCGGGGTGTCCGGGAAGTAGTGGGTTTGGAGGTCTTCGAGGAAGGAAGGGGAGGAAGGGTCGAGGTTTGGCATGGGTGATTGGCGAGGTGGTGGTTTGGGGAAGTGGATGGGGCCAGTTGGGAATGCGGAGGCTGAGCAGAGTTCGGAGGGGGGGTGGTGGGGTGGGAGGTCTTCTATTGTCGGTTGCTGGGATTGGTTCTCTGTTGTTGGCGGTGGAGATGAGGGGACGTCGAATGAGACGGAATTGGTGGGTTTTTGGGGTTGCGTAGAAGTAGATGTAATCCCTGATTGTTCCGGTTGTTCTTCTAGAGTACAATTACTGTCTTTATTCTCCCTACTAGTTCGAGGTCTAATTCCCTCCTGCTGGTGGTCTTCGTCGATGTTGGCTCTACGGAGGAATCGTTCGATGAGCGATTGCGGAAGCGCAGAGATCAATTCTCCACGCTCTCTTTCAATCTCAGCAGGAGACATGGCAGCCAGTCTCTTTTCGTTTTCCTCATCTATAGAGTTCTTCTCAGCTGTGGTCGAGGACGCAAGGCTCGCAGCCGGAGTAGTTGAAGCACGACGTGGTGGCGGCTGTTTATGAGCCACTGAATCTCTAACTGCTCTTTGCTGTTTAAAAGTACATATCCTGGAACGCTTCCGGTGTTCTGGAAAACCGGTAGATGTAGAGGGCAGTCGTGGAGGAGCAGGCGGTAGGGGTGTAGCCGAGGGTGCTCGTTCTCTGATATCACCCACGAAATCGAGGGAAGGAGACGCAAGGGAGGGACAGTAGTCATGAACATTGTCATCCTCATCGTCAGAAGAGAGGTTGATGTGAAACCGCTCTCCGCGGACAGCCATGTCTACTGCAAGATATGCAATATGCACATGTAGGGAAGACAGGACGAGAGGAAGACCCGCCTTTTTAGTGGTTGTTGTTGTTGTTGTTGTTGTTGTTGTTGTTGCTGTCGTTGTTGTCGTGGTGTGTAGTTTTAAAAAAAAAAGAAGCTTTCCCAGATCGCACGGTTTCCATGCGGGCTTAGTCATCGATAAGATAGCTACTAACACGTGACCCAGCCCAGTTCTATTTTGGGACTAGCGCAGGTCTGGACGCAGGTTAAGGTTGGGCATCACGTGGAACAGTCCCGGGGCAGCTAAACCCAAAGAGGACGAGGGCCCAAGACCTCGGGACTGCAACAGATCTTTATCTATGAGGGGATAGTAGGGGCCCCCATGCAACCAGGACGGTACAGGAATTTGAAACAAACGTGGGAATGGTGAGCAGTGGTGGGGGATCTGATGAGCAACTGAGAGCCGAGAGTGGTTTGTGTGTGTGGTATATATTGTATCCTCCATCCAGTTCGGTGGAGCTCTACAGCTTGCGGAATCCAAGGATCTTCAATCACAGGCCATGCCTGGGTTGGCCATTGGCCTTGTGGGGTTTGGGTTGGTGTGTTTTTGGCGCTATGGGCCAGTTCGTTCCTCTCCAGCTGCACCCAGTCGGATGTGGCTTGCTGTGGCGAGTGCAGCGTCTAGGGCCCGAACGTCCATGGATGCTTGGGGCCAGAGAGAACCCATGGATGGAGCGGGACGTAGAGTAGATTGTAACGAGGTAAATAACCAATACACACACTAAAACACGGCGGAACAGGGATATATTGCGAAGGGGGAGTGGGAATAGGTTGGAGCGGGGCATATTCACATCCAATATATACACACACACACACATATATATATATATATATATATATATATATATATATATGTGGATTGGCCCACTTGAGATATCCGTTCGAGGAGCAGGAGTTCAGAATTCTTCCATCCACCGAAGCATTTTGGCCCATGAATGTGTACAATAGACGTGACCATACATCTTGACTGTAGCAAACATGCCATCAGCCAGTCCAGTCAGCTGGTACCAGGTAGCAGTAGAGAAGTAGTAGAGAAGTAGCAGCAGCAGCAGCAGCAGCAGCAGTTACTCGATGGTTACCGCCAAACAATCGCTGGCTGCTGCTTGCTTCTTCCCGTGGGACGCTCCCCCGAACAATTAATTAATTATAGCTAAGAATCAAAGGGTCAAATTAAACCACCCGCCTGCATTTTTAACCTTTCCCAGATGCCGTCTCGCCTCTGCCCCCTTCTTTTGCCTCTTCTCTGCCTCTTCTCTGCCTCTCTCTGCCCTCTGGCCTCTCTGCCTTGTGGCCCTTTTTCTTCTTTTCCCCTTTCAACCTACTACCCTGCTGCTGCTTCACATCAAAGGTAGCTCGTTAGCCGGTCTCTGCCTCTCGCTCAAACCATACTAAATACCTGCTCCCATCCCCTTCTTTTCTCTCTCTCTCTCTCTCTCTCTATCTCTCTCTATCTCTCTCTCTCTATCTCTCTCTATCTCTCTCTATCTCTCTCTCTCTCTTTCTTTACTTTCCTTACGTTCTTCCGCCTCTTCTTAATATTCTTTCTTCCACTTTTCCTCTTCTTCTCTTGCCCGTGCCAACCTCCCCCGGCGTGTTCCTGTTTCATCCTGCACCCCAGCTCCCTGTTCACACGCCTTGGTCACCTCCCCTTATCCACTTCATCCATCGCTGGTCATTCGACCTTTTTATCTCTCGTCGCACATCATCCTCGTCTGTCACCATCACCAAACCATAATCTTCAAACCAACCAACCTACTCCAACCCCGTTGCCATCGTCAGAATCCCCGTGTGTTCGAATTTCACGATCACGGGTAAAAAAATTCCTCGCTCTTAAATCCCCTTTAATTTCCCTGTGGTTTGCCTCGCCACGCCGGCCAAAACCCAACCAGCAGCCACCGTTCATTCCACACAGCAGATCACCAACTTTCGGTATTCGTGTTCTTCGTGCCAAACCCTAACCACCGAAACCGTAACTCCACTCTCTCTCTCGTCTCTTGCGTCCCAGCGATTTTTATTCTCGATTTTCTCCAACGGTCGCTGGTTCAACTTTGTTCTGCATCCCCAAGAACACCCCCGCCACCAATAAAAAGCGGATTTCCAATTCCCATGTTTTAAATAACTGCCACTTTGTCAACAGAACACACACCACACGTGATTATTTTTATTTTACTGCGGGAACCGCTGCAGAAAAGCAAAGATTAAATAGAATTTTAATTCGCCAAAAAGACATCACCAGGCAAAAAGAAAAAAGAAAAAAAAGAAGAGAGAGAGAGAAAAAAAAAAAAAAAGGGGAAAGCTGTCAAAGAAGAAATAAGAAGAAGAATTTCTCAGACAGTATTCTTGGAAAATAAACTGAAATTCGTTCTACCGGTCCTACATCATACATACGTATGCGTGTGAGAGCGCTGGGGCTTATTCGGGATCTTGAAGGAAAAAGAGCGGGAGAAAAGAAATCCGAAAATAAAAGAAAAAGACCCAAAACCCGTCTGCTGCTATTCCAGACACGGGTTGATCGATATTATTTTTATTTTATTTTATTTTATTTCTTCCCGCTGCGTCTTGCATCTTGCAATTTTCAACCGTGGTGGAGAAAAGCTTCCATGTCTGGAGATGCCGCGGACGAGGGCTGGCGAGGCAGAGGTCGCACGCGACGGGGAGAAATGAGCCAGAACAATCACCCGCCAGCACAACCGCAGATACAGTCTCAAGTACAGCCTCCACAGGATGATCTTCAGCAGCAGCAGCAGCAGCTACCAGCAACTAATAAAATCAACTCCTCCTCATCGCCAGACTTGTCTTCTCCCAATCTATCCGAGTGTGAGAGTGTGCCCACGCCCGCTCATTTTCATTCCCGGGTTTCCACGCCTAATCCAGAGGCTCCACATGCTGCGCCTACTGCTGGCCCAACCACCACTGGTGCTGCTCCAGCTCCAGCTCCAACTCCAGCTCCAGCTCCAGCTACGGATGCTGACGTAAAAAGCGACAAACAAACCGACGCTCCCACCACAGGCGCCGCCAAGGTGAAACGCACCCGCCGAAAGAAAGAAGACAAGGAGCCAAAGGTGGCCAAAGAGAAAGATAAAGACGCAAAACCCCGCAGACGTCGCACCAGTAATGGTAAAAATAATGCTACCAATACCTCTGCCAATAACAGCAATAATCCGAACCAGCAACTCTCTCCCGTCATCAGCAACGACAACGCCGATCGCGGAGCATCACGCAAACGAGCCAAGCTGGAACATCCCCGGGAAAGCAACAAGCCCCTGGCCCCTGCGCGGCAGTCCAAGATCACTGACCTCGTTACGCCCAATGCCGATTCTTCTTCTTCTTCTTCTTCTTCTTCTTCTTCTTCTTCTTCTGCTCCTGCTGCTGCTGCTGCTGCTGCTGCTGCTGCTTCGGTTGCTTCTGCTCCCTCTACTCCGGTGCCTTCGACGCTTTCGCCCTCTCTCCCGGCCTCGTCAGCCGCCTTCCACCTGGGTGCTCCAGCCTCATCTGCACCTTCCGTCTCGCCCCCGCTCCAGCCACACCTCCAGCCACACCACCCCCATGCCCTTTCCCAAAACGGCACCTATGACGCCTTCCCCGCAAATGGCAGCTCCCGCCCTCCGTTCCACCCCTATCACCTGCAGCCCGCCCCGCCCTCCACCCCCGTGCTAGCGCCCGCTCTAGCTCCCGCCCTGCCCTCCACCTCGGGCACTGCTCCATCGCACCACCACCACCACCACCACCACCAACAACAACAACAACAACAACAACAACAACAGTAACAACAACAACAACAACAACAACAACAACAACAACAACAACAGCAGCAGCAGCAGCAGCAGCAGCAGCAACAGCAGCAACAGCAGCAACAGCAGCAACAACAACAGCAGCAGCAGCAGCAGCAGCAGCACCAACAACAACAACAGCAACAACAACAGCACCCTCCTGCCCAGCGCTCCAGCGGCCAGAACTATGACCCCATCCGCTCCGCTTTCGATAACTCCTCCATCGCAGCTCCCCATGTATCCACCTCGTCCAAGATCTCTCTCCCCCCCACTCACAGCCAGTTCGGACCCCCACCCAACACGAGGACGCCCCCTCCCCGTCCGGTGTACCGTGCCAGTGCATCTCCCGCCATCTCCAGCATCATCGACCCTCCAATCCAGCCGTCGAGCTCAGCGCCACCTCCATCCCAGCCAACCGTTCCCAACAACCAACAAACGAAGCCTTCTCCAGAGAACAACCATCCCAGTATTCATTCCCCTCCCCCAGCCACGATGACCGCCATCACCCCTCCCAACACAGCAATACCCATCCAGCAACCAAAAGCCATGCATGAACCAGAACCATCCCCATCCATCTTGCAAGAACCCATCGCCATGGACATCGACAGCCTGAACAACACCGCACCAACCCCAACCCCTATCCAACCTCCCCCCGCTTCCACAAAACCAACGTTAACAACAACGACAACCAAAAAACCCTCTGTCCCCTCCACGGGGCCCCCCTCCACAGCTCCCACAGCCTCACCCCCCAAGCCCTCCCGCTCCAACGTCAAAGAGACCCCGCGTGCCCCGCTCCCCTCCGGCTCCGGCCTCCTATCCGGCACCCTCTTCGGCGCCATCGACTCCACCAACCCCTCCAACTCATCACCCTCCTCCACCAAGTTCACCCCAAACATCATCCTCCACATCCCCCTCCAAGGCAAAACGAACCAGGTAATTAACTTCACCCGCCTGGCAGAGGAGCAGTATGGCTTTGACGCATTGCATCCGCGTCTGGCGGCACAGCGCGAGCGGATGGCAAGGGTAAATGCGGCTAGTGCGGCGTTGGAGAGGAATGAAAGGGGTGCGAAAGGTGGCAGTGGCGGGAATGATAGTGCCGCGGAGGAGGATTTGAGTCTCATAGATATCGAGAGGGATAGTGATGGCGATGGCGACAACGATGGTGATGTGATCATGTCTGGTATGGGGCGTGCGGGCGCGAATGGACATGCGGGGAGTGACGTTAGTGTCGGTGCTGGCGCCAGCACAGCTGCATCTACGGCTGCAGCAACCCTTGCGGGAACAAAGAAGAAACGCCGACGAAAAATCGAAGAATATGACCGTGATGACCCCTTCGTTGATGATAGCGAGCTTGCATGGCAGGAACAGGCGGCTGCTAGCAAGGATGGGTTTTTTGTCTACAGCGGTCCGCTGATCCCGGAGGGGGAGAAGATTTCTGTTGAACGGTATGCTTTCACTTTTTTTTTTTTTTGGCTCCCTCTCTTCCCTATCCCCTTACCCCATCATCTCTACATATATATATAGGTATATATATATCCATAAAATACCAATCCTAACAACCACCCAGCGCCGACGGCTCCATAAAACGAGGCCGTGGCCGCGGTCGCGGTGGCGGCGCAGGTTCCGGTGCAGGTGGTGCTGGCTCGCGTACGCGCGGTGGAGCCGCCGCTGCGAATGTCGGACAGCACGTTGCGGGCTCATCTGGGCATGATGGTGGTGCTGCTGCTGCTGGCGGCGGCGGCAGCGGCGGTAGTGGAAGAGGTGGTGGCGGATCGTCCAGGGGAGGTGGTGGGACGGTGCGCAAGGCGCGTGTGACGAAGGCGGGGAGGGAGACGATGCTGAAGGAGAAGATGGAGAGGCAGAAGATGGGGTTGGAGTTGGCGGGGAAAGGTGGGGCTGCGGCTGCGGCTGCGGCTGGGGTTGGTGTTGATGGGAATTCTGGGGTTGGGGATGGTGGTGATGGTGGTGGTGTAGGTGTAGGCGGAGGCAGAGGGGAAGGTGGAGGGGGTGCGGGTGTGAATGTTAGTGCTGTGGGTGTATAGAGTGTGAGAGTGAGAGGACCTCAGGGTATTGTGATAATGGGCTGAAGATTTTAGAGGCAGAAGGAACCGACCTTAGGGGGAAGAGGCGGTGGGAAGCGGAGTATTTGCTTCTTTTTAATTTTTTTTTATTCTTTTTATTTTTTGTTTCGTTGTTTTAATCTTGTTTGCGACCGCTCCGGATGGGACGTGTGTTTTGGTTTGGTTTGGCTTGCTCTAAGTTCGGAGAATCTGCGAAATATATCTTGGTCTGCATAGTTTCTATTGTTCTCTTTTCTGTGCTTTCTGCTTTCTGCCTTGTGGGCTGCTTCTGGAATTCCCCATGTTATGCTTTCATTTCATGTCTGTGACGCTATGCCTGTGCTACCTAATATTCACTCTCATCAGGCGGTTCTGTCCATCGGTCTTATTGGGTGCATATATATGCGTGAGTGTTGTTGCGGCCCTCTATTCTGTGAGTTATGTCTGTCTGTATTTCTATTTATTTGTAGGCTTTATTTCAATATTTTAACTATTTTATCTGAGGATCGGTTACATTATGGATTTAATTATTGATGATATCGCTTTTGCACCCTCCTTTGCCTGTATTTTTCTATCCTCCCCCCCCCCTTAAAAAAAAAAACCGTAGTAGATGGAACTGGGGGTTGGAGGATAGAAAATGTGTCTATCCATGGTCACATTGAGTTTCAAGGCATTGCTTTTACCATAAAGCAGGCAGGGTACTTAATACAGAGAGCAACACCTAACAATGTCAGTACCATAATAACAATATTTCGCTCGAATTTCCCAAACAGAGTATATCCCAAGGCTCCCCCCTGCATCGCGTAAACACCGGACATATAATCCAAAATATAAAAATATCGATGCTCAACGAGGGCTTCAGAAAGAGATATCGCAACCCTCTTCACGAAAGGAAAAGATATATTAAAGGAAATCAAAACAGCAGGTCATTTAGGCATTGAAGCTAACGTGCACATGGTCCCTGGAGAAAAATAACACTCATGATTAGCAAAACTGCTCCCGGATGGATGTACTCTCGGGCTCGATGTTCACACACTTACCAGTGATTAGCAGTGACCCCGCCTCTATCTTCCATCTGCTTCCATTGGGCCCACGGTCTAACCCGCTCACCAGACTCCCAGATCTTCTGTCCCCAGATGACGTACTTGACCCTGAGCTCGCCAGCGTGGTTCATAACCCATTCGCCGAGTGGCTGCCCGTTGGGAGAGTGCGCCTTGTGCAAGTGGATCGAGCCATCAGCATTTCGTTTGATGAAGAAATAATTTTGGCTTATATACCAAGGATCTAAACACTTACACCAGTCATGAGATCCAGGGCCAGGCCAAGAGGATGCTCAGACTTGCCCGAGCGCTGCCCATAACAGCCGACAGATTTGACTTTGCCCGGATTGGCATTGATGATCTTGTACCCGGCATCGATAACATGTCTCTTGCACTTGTGCTCGGGGATCTTAACGGGTGGAGCCGCCGGAGGTGGAGGCGGCTGCTTCTCCGTGCAGCACATCACGTCGTTGGGGTCCTTAGGGCAAGTCCAGGGATCGTTTGGTGTTCCCGCGCCTGGTGTAGCGAAGCCCTGGCAGGCGGATTTCTTGACGCAGACGCCTGGCACACCGCGGGCGTTGCACTTCTTTCCCCCTGGACCTGGAGGGGGAGGGGGAGGGGGAGCTCTATCGGTACAGCACATCACGTCGTTGGGGTCTTTGGGGCATGTCCAGGGGTCCTCAGGGGTGCCAACGCCGGGCGTCGCAACGCCGTTGCAGGCGGACTTCCTGATGCAGACGCCAGGGACGCCACGGGCGTTACATCTCCTTCCCGGGGGTCGTGTGGGTGGTTTCTCCGTACAACACATCACGTCGTTCGGGTCCCTGGGGCAAGTCCAGGGGTCATCAGGCGTCCCTGCGCCGGGCGTTGCGGTTCCCCTACATGCCGATTTCTTGATGCAAGTTCCTGGGACGCCGTAAGCTGTGCAGCTACGCGGAGCGCGCTTGGCAAGACCGTCGTCATCATCTTCGGTAAAGCTGGGTTCGACTGGAGGCAGTTCGGCGGTGCAGCATTGCCAGCCGTGTGGGGAGTGATGGCAGAATCCACCGGCTACGGGAACACCGTTCCAAGCCTTACATTCAGCCGGGGGCATGCAGTGTCCTTCTTCGCCCTGAACGTCGCATTGTTCCCATCGCTTGGATTTGGCGGAGAGCGACGTGCAGGTGGCCGTGAGGGCTAGAATTGGGATGAAGTACCTCATCTTTTCTCAATCGATTCGTGTCTCGTTCGATATTCGTAGAAAGTCCAAAAGCAGCAACAGCGTAGGTTTAAAAATAAAAGTAAAATATAGAGGGAAAGGTAATGGATGTCGGTATATGTCACCTTCGCAGAAGTGATTGCCCCCCTTGGTTAGTTATGAATATGCAAGCTATTTCGGGTGTCGAAGGGGTTCTTATAGCTATGATCTTTTCTATCCTTTCTATACCTTCAAGGTATCTAATATGTCTCCGCCTCGCCGCTCGCACTCTGTCCTCGTGAGGCTCACACTTCTTGCCTCAAATACGGATGCAGTCAGCCCACAACCAAAGTGGCAGTCGATCAGACCTCCTCCATATTGGGAGGATTTCCCTTCAGGGCAGCTCCTTGGAAGCCGGAGAGACCAAAAGAGACTCATGGCATAAAGGCATGGTACACAGTGATGCTGGTAAATGCCGTATTCTCCCATGGAAAGCGAGGTATTGGTGTACCAAGGGCGACAGAAGGAAGCCATGAAACAGAATGGCAAAGGGGAACCAGAGAGCAATCGTAGAAACGATCAAACGATCAAACGAATCAACTTGTAATAATTTGCTGGCCAAACGCTCCCCTCTAGCCAAATATGCCAGTCACAAGAAGAATGGGACATTCTCAAGCTGGCTGAGCCGCCATTGCAAAGCGTGTTCATTTTCTCCCTGACGAAAAGATCGCACTAGAGAATAAGTCTGATTGAGACATGAAATCATTTTTTTCGTTCATAAATGCACGGATAAGGAAACGAACTGCCCCGCGGTAATTATAGAACACGAAATGCTTGCAGCGGGGGATGTGCCTCTTCCCCGGGCGTTGGGTTGGAAGCTCTCGCCACATCCCGGATCCTGAAGCATATCTCCGATTGCTGACTGGCTGGGGAAGCCTGCCAGTGCCCAGGGCCCCAGGGGGAGGCTTGTTGAAGTTTCGGCTGCTGAGAAACGCGGCGATGCTGCACGCTGCTCCTGTTTCATCACGGGCGATCACCATGATCTTCGACGAGATTGAGGAGGCTGAGGTTCTGGTCAATTGGCCACCGTACTGAGGATACCTCCTCTCCATGGAATTCTTGCCATTTAGTTAACTAATAATAAGCATGAGCTGGTCTTCCTCGTATGGCGGGCATCAGCATCTGGTAAGTGTCGATATCCGTCGTATTCACCAAATCCCATCTCGTCCTCAAATGACTGCAGGGTAATCAAAGTCTCCTTCAGCCTTTCTTCAAGACCCAAGAGAAGAGATCATCACTATTATTATTGTGATGTTGGACGTTGTTCATTGTGGATACGAAGCTCGAGATGCAGCGAATTAACTAACCATCTTCGTTGTCCCCACTTGAGCCAAAGACCGCGCTCGCACTCTTGACATGAAGAAGTTAACCGAGCAGGTAGTTAGTTAACCCTGTTTTGGGGCTTTGCCAACCGCAATCCAACCGGACTTGGACTGCGCAGAATGGCGAGGGAACAAAGAAGAATCCTGAGGCTCTGAACCTGTTTGTGCCTGCAGATCAACACGACCTCCAAACGAGAAGTTGGTTCCTGAGAAGCGATCCCGAGCCACCAACGGAGCATCTGGCAAAACGAATTCGGGCGTGGCTAGATTGATAGCACAACCAAGTCACTCATTCTATTCATCCACCCTCACATTGGCCATCGCTGGTCAATTGACAAGTTAACGGGGCGCAAAGTAGGCTCAACCTCGGGGCGAGCGATGAGCAAGTTCCTGTGGCCCAGATCAGGGGGCCTCCTCCTTTATCCCATTTGGAGGCAAACTTGTTTTGTGACGGAGTGATCCCCCATCTCGACTCGCTATACATCCACGTATACGGATAATATATCCTGGAATTGTTGCTTCTGAATCCCGTTTGTATTGATGCAGGACACCCATAAAAGAAACCTCCGGGATGCAGCCATTCTATAGCCCTTTCCTATGGTTATAACCGTGGAAATTGTAAGTCTCGGTTGAAAGCTCTCCGAGTGGACGAAGCAGACGACTGCAAGCCGCGACTGAAGAGCTGTTCGTACGTGCCTATGTGTCCGAAGGCGCCTAATCCGATTGTGAGATATTATAGAATCTGGTTTTGCGCATGCAGCTGAGAAAAGTCTGTTCCAGCTGGTGCTAATCTGTTGAACCATACATGTTGTACACAGCCCCAGATACTGTACCTCATGTTACTCCGATAAGCTGAGAGCGAGAACTCGGTTCTGTTAATGCACGCATGCCGCAGGAAAGGAGAGTCATTTCTACGGACGAGTTGTGATAGCTGGTATTAACTATGGTGATCATATTACATATTTTTGGGGTAAAATTTACCGACATACGCAGTCTAATTATGTATAAAGAATATATATATATATATACCTTCCTCAAGAAGAAACCTTCCCGCAGCCCCGATCAAACTCCATAGGGTTGATAAAGGTCTCGCATCCTTCATTGTTCAGTCCAAGCTGGATGAGAGTTTTCTCTGCAACAAATCTATGCGTCAGAACCGGTTTGCTCTAGTTGATCGCGCATGAGAATGAACATGGAAGATTAGGCACGCACCTTTAGGTTTAAAAGTTGGCCACCCTATCTGTTTCAAGCCGCCCCTAGGATCAGCTGCAAAGCGTGCCCAGGCATTCTGCATAATTTTCTTGAGTTTGGTTTGTTCCTGCGACTCAGGCAACCCGCTAACGTCACGGGATGCCCCGAATATCATGTGCAGGTCAACTCCGT